CTTTCATGGCGGATGCTTTCGACATGCAAGGGGCGTTGCCTCCAAAAGCATACAGTCCCAGGGTGCAGTAAATGTCATATGATCCCGAGCCAATGCATCGTTGGCGTCCGCGATGCTTCCATTGTGGTGACCAACAATCCAGCAGGCTCACCAGATTTTGCTCAGAAGGATTTTGCATGACAGCTTCACAGGCAGCTGACAGCCCAGAGCTCATTTATCATGCATGAAAAGAATCAGGGCGGGGCAGCAGGCCCTGGATTGAAATCTCGCAGCTGCCTGATTGCCAGTGGTACTGGTGGGCGGGTGAGTCTCGCTTTAGGCTCAGCGCTCCCGCGGGGCACGGGTAAGGCATGCTTGAGTAAGGTCTCGGAGCCATCGGTGGCCCTGACCACCATGCTGTCGTAGGATGCCACATCCTTGGCAGTTCCATATTGGGGCTCGAAGCTTCGTCGCGCATTGGTTGGGGCCCGGAAGGCCCCCATCTCCTCCAGTCTCTCTTGCCTGCGCCGGGTGAGCTGCCGAGACCGTCTCTGTCTTCTTATCGGGCAGGGCTTTGGTCACTGCTTCTCGGGTGAAAACGTCCGAGACAATCAGCCCGTACTTGTTGGCCCCCCGAGTGTTGACGTTGAAGTCGATCAAATCCGCTTGCAGCCGATCGTTGGGGCCCTCGGCTGCACTCTTGCCTAAAGACCGGGGCTTGGGGGCCAAAATCTGCCTGGCCACGTCGTCCCGCAAAGCTCGCGCGGCTCGGGCATAGGTCATGCCCGGCCGGTCGGGGAATTCCCGCCGTGCCAGCTGGTGCAGCTTCCGCACATCGCGGACAGAGAAGTCTGCGGCCAGCTGCCGGAATAGGTTCACGTTCTCCGCGTCCATTTTCTATCACGAGCGCTTCTTGCCCTTCTTCTCAAGAGCCTCCACGTGAGCCTGGAGCCCCTGGCAGACTCCCCACAAAACGCAGCACATGCGGTTATAGTCGAGCGTAACGAGCTCCCCCAGCTCTTCGTCCACGGGCCCCGTCTCCAGCACCTCGTTGGCGATGAAACCCAACGTACGCTTCTGGCTCCCTCGGTCCGCCGGTACCACTTGGGTGCCACGGCGTCGAAGAGCTGCTGCAGCTCCTCGAGCCGCGCGGGCTCCACGCTGTGCTTCAGCTTCTCGCCCGAGAGATTTTGGAACCCAAAATTCACGATCACTTCCCCATTATTGCCCCCGCCCGTGTTGGATTCCACGATGAGGTTCGCCGGCCCGGTCGCCGCGGTGCGCAGGAAGATGGCCTGGTCCTGGGCGTGGAGCTGCACGCCCCGGCAGGAGGAGCCCGCGTTGCAGGCGATGAGGAGCCGTGCGTCGCGAGGTTGACGACCTCCGCCGTCACGTCCCTGCTGTTGACGGTGGACACGACCTGTAGGTACTGTAGGAGGTCCCCCTACGCCTGCACGCCCGTGCTGCCGCCGACGAGCTCCAGGTACGCGGGGCTCGAGACGATGGTGCTGGTGATGTGGAGCACGCTGTAGGTGCCCAGCGCGCCGCCCGTGAGGGTGAGGTAGTCGTCTGTCGCTCGGGCCGAGGCGAGGGAGCTGTCGATGTCGGCCTGCGTGGCGTTCTGGCTGATGTTCAGCGCGTCGACGGCGTTCGAAATCTGGTTGTTCATCTCAGCCTGCGCGTATGTTTGGGCGGTGGAGTACGCCTGGCAGTCGATCTGCACGTGTTTTCCGCGAGTTCTGGCTCCCACGGACGCGTCTGCGCGCTCGTGCAGTCGCGAAAGGCCCGGCGTGCTGGAACGCCAAAATGTCCGGCAAGGGCGGAGGCCACCTCTGCTGCCGACAGCACTGCCAGGGCTGCCTCTGCAGCGTCCAGCCTCTCGTCTCGGCACGAGGGTGGGCGACCAGGAACAGCAGCGCGGTAGCCCACGTTTGCGGGCATGGTGCGCAGGGCCACCAGGCTGTTCAGGCCGCTGGTGTCGGTGTCGGGGAGAAGAGCGGTGGAGATGCCTGGAAAATCGCCTGCGTGAGGCCGTATAGTTGGCAGCCGCCGTGGCGAGAGTGGCGTTGTTGGCGCTGGTGATGGCGCTGTTCATGGAAGCGTTGGTGGGATGGTTTGCTAGCTTCAGATCCACGGAGGCTTTTGGCATCCAGGGCGAAGGCCCGTGGTCAGGCTGGTGCTCAGGCTGGTAATGGCAGAAAAGTTGCCTGCGACGAGGCCCTCGGCCGCTGCCAGGTCCGCCGCCAGGGCGTAGGGTGCGAGGTCCGGCGGCGCCGGGAGACGGCCGAGTTGGTCGCGATGGCCGCGCGTGTCCGTGAGGGGCGTGCAAGCAGTGAGCACGGGTCTGCCCACCGTTGAGGATGTCGAGGCATCGGGGATGTCCCTCCATTCAAGCTCGGGAGGCATAGCGTGCTCTGGAAGCTGTGGCTCTCTGTAAGCAGCGGCTTGACCTCCTCGACTCGATAGACTTGACTGCCGTCGGGATGCTTGAGGTCTTGGAGCTCTTGCAGCAGATGCAGGTGTTTCTTCGGCAGCTGCTGGACCACCACGCAATCAGTCTTGACGAGGAGGGTAGGGGCGGCCCGCAGCTGATGCTTGATCCTTGCGACGACCACGTGCTCGGCCGCCAGCGCAAAGTCGTGCAATGGCCTGTGGCTGGCGTTGCTCATCAGATTGCGGATATACACGAAGTCCCAGTATTCTGCAAGCGGCTGCTCGGCCATCTGCCTTTTGGCCACCTCAAGCTTCTTCTCAACGTCTTCTCCGCTTAAGTCTGCTCCTCTGTGGTTTTTTGGCCGTTATTTGTTTCTTCGCATGAGTTTTGCACGTTGATTTGATTTTCATAAGCCCTGTTGCCACGAATTTGCATGTTTTATTGTGATTTTACATGTTTCGTGATTTTTGCGTGGGGTTGGCGTGGATTTTTGTTGACTTGGCATGTGCTTGACTCTTGGCATGCGAGACCACACGAAGCAACACGACAGCACGGCAAGCGCAGCAAGCGCAGCAAGCACAGCAGGCACAACAGGCACAGCAGGCAAGCGCAGCAAGCCTTGACAACTGAGCGCCGGTGACCACAGAGGCTTCAGGGTTGTTTGGGGGTTGCAGGTGGTTGGGGCTCCGAGGCAGCCAGGTCTGCAAGTTTGCACGCTGCAAGTGAAGTTTGGACTGCAAGGCTTCAGGGTCGGTTTGGTTGCAGGTGGGTTGGGGCTCCGAGGCAGTGGGGTTTGGTTGTCTTGCGCCGTCCCTACCCCTTCCTGCAATTCTAGAGTACCTTGCGTTCGCCATCTTCTTTTGACGAGCGCGGAGACTGCAGAGGCTTCAGGGTTGTCTTTGAGGTTGCAGGCGGGTTGGGGTTCTGAGGTAGCGAGGTCTGTCTACCAGGTTTCGGGGTTTGGGTTTGATTGGCAGGCAAGTGGGCTCCGAGGCAGTGAGGTCTGGTCTGTGCGTGCTCAGGAGTGCCCTGCGCTGCCCTTTCCTGTAGTTCTAGACGGCCTTGGCCCTTCTCCGTTCCCCGGGACCCCGGGCCCCTCTCTCGCGTTCAGGTTCTCAGCGCCGGTTTGCTTTCTGGAATCTTCGCGCGCGCCGGCAGGCCGGGGGTTTAGGGTAGAGGATCTCAGGGGGCTGGGGGTCTGGAGGGCTTTGACTTTTATGGGTTTTGGGGGGCCCACGTGCCTACACGGGAGCGTGAACGTGAATGTCGGAGGACGGGGGGGGGGGCCAGTGTGAATTCGTGAATCTGGGGGCCCGGGGTAACGAGTGTGAAAGCGTGAGTCCGTGAATCTCTGCTGGGGTCGGCGTGAGGGCGTGAGTGTGTGAATCCTTGTTGCTGGCGGCAACAGGCCACTGTGAAGGCGTGAGTGCGTGAATCCCTGTTGCTGGTGGGTGAGTGCGTGAATCTTTGCTGCCCGGGGCCTGCGCCCAGTGTGAAGGCGTGAGTCCATGAATCCCTGGTGGTGTGGGCTCGTGCCCGGTGTGAAGGCGTGAATGTGTGAATCCTTGGTGCTGGCGGAACCTCAGTGGGTGTGAATCCTGGCGCTTGGGAGGCAGTGTGAGAGAGTGAGTGCGTGCGGGCATGCGCGTTTTCGATCCTCCTGGCACAGACTCACGAATTCACACACTCCCGCTCGTGCGTCCGCTCCTCGCGCTGCACAGGCTCACGAATTCACACTCTCACGCTCGTGCGTCCTCTGCACAGACTCACGAATTCACACTCTCACGCTCGTGCGTCCTCTTCTTGTGCTGCACAGACTCACGAATTCACACTTTCACGCTCGTGCGTCCGCTTCTCGCGCTGCACAGACTCACGAATTCACACTCACACTCGTGCGCCCGACCCGCATTCCACAGCTTCACTCATTCACTTTGTCACGCTCGCGTGCCCTACTCGCGATGCGCAGATTCGCAGATTCACTTTATCACGCTTGCGCGCCCGGCCTGTCTCACGCACTCACGTTCTCACGCTCCTGTGCCTGGTTCCCCGCAGACTCACGCACTCACGTTCTCACGCTCCTGTGCCTGGCCTGTCCTCCACGGACTCACGCACTCACGTTCTCACGCTCCTTGTGCCTGGCCTGTCCTCCCCTGGACTCACGCACTCATGTTCTCACGTTCTCACGTTGGCGCGTCCGAGCCGCATGGATTCAAGATTATTCAAGTATTCAGGGTTTCACGTTCGCAGTCTCATATGTCTGGCCTTCACAGATGCACAGAGAACCCGCGTTCCTGGTAAGCTCGCATGGCGAGCCTGCTTCTTTATTCGACTTCGTGGCATGTATGTTTGCACTTTCTGTTCTCTGCTGCCAGAGAGATTTTAGCTATGTACGCTTGTGGATCTCGCTGTCCTGGCAGGCGATATTATGTGTCCTTTGTCAACGCACTTTGCGTGTGGCACCCAGATGCCTCTGGACCAGCAGCCAACCCATGATGACAGAAGGGAGTCGGGGATCATGGCTTCTTTGATGTCATTCAGTCGCATCTGCTCGAGCCTTCTTGAGGACAGCTGTAGGACGAGCGCAGCCATGGCAAGGACTCCAGCATCGCGCAAGATTGGTCGCGTGCTGGCGCTGCTGGCATTGTTTTGGGCGTGTCAGCCAAGGCCTTAGACAGGCGCTGCTCAGCCAGTGTTAGAGAGGATCCCGAGCAGCTTCAGGCAAGCTGTGCAGACAGTGCGGGCTGCTGTTGGAGTCAGGGCCGTTCCCTTTGCAAGGCGGGATATGACAACACGGAGCGACGAAGAGCATAAAGCCAAGCGAGGCCTCCTGCGGGCGCGTGGGCGCGTAAGCTGCCCATTGCACGCGGAGCCGCGAGCAAGGCGGGGAAAACTGAGAAGAATGTGTTAAGCTCATCGGGACAAACTCAGGCTGATGGCCAACCTGGTGAAGGTGATGACAATGAAGATGACGAGGCAAGAATGGTTTGTCGTTTCGGCGTGGCGACCCTGCTTTGCTGTAAGGTGAGCAAGCTGGCCAAAGAACACGATGCGTGTCAGAGCTACAACGCAAGTCAGGTGCCTTGCATCGTTCTTATGTCGTTCCCTTTGGTCCTGCCCTGGCTTTCTCTGAAGCGTCTCTTGTAGGTGATTGGATGGGTCCAACAAGTCTCTGGCCCCAAGGTCGGAGATGACGAGCGTTGTGCCTGCTTGCGGTATTCAATGCGCCAACGTGCTCCGAGGACATCAGCGAGTTTGCGGGTCAAGAGTACGCCGGGAAGGAACTGCTGACGATGGGCGTGGCAGAGCGCGACAACCTCGGGTTGGCAAAAGGTCCACAGAGGCGCCTGATAGAGCGCATCAAGAAGCTGAAAGCGGCCGTCGCCGCTTGACTTTCAGCTGTGCCGTTGCTTCCGGGCAGCCTAGCCGCAGTCTTGGAGCAAGCTGAGGCCATTAGACAAGCCAAACTGAAGCTACGCAATGCAGGCACTGACGATGAGGCCCGGGGGGGCTTGGGAGCGTAGATGGATGCCCATAGCACGGCTTGCTCCGGCGCAGGGTCGGATCAAGATGGTCGGCGGCGGCCTCGGAGCTGTGGGAAAGTTAGCCAAATGTGGCGGGGACGGCGCTGGCAGGTGACATGCTGTCGGCGCTGGTCGAGCTGCAGCTGAAGGACAAAGACCTCTTGAAAGCAGACGCTCGCCCACGTTGTGTTATGGAGGGTGCCTGCCGTTCAGGATCCCTGTTTGATTTTCTTTTGGCAACCCAGAAAGCCGAGGCCATCGATGTAATCAAGAAGCAGCTAGGCAATCTACAGGACGATCAGGCCAGGCTGTTCATTGAAGTCGTCTCCATAGCACGGGTTGCTCCGGCACAGGGTCGGATCAAGATGGTCGGCGGCGGCCTCGGAGCTGTGGGAAAGTTAGCCAAATGTGGCGGGGACGGCGCTGGCAGGTGACATGCTGTCGGCGCTGGTCGAGCTGCAGCTGAAGGACAAAGACCTCTTGAAAGCAGACGCTCGCCCACGTTGTGTTATGGAGGGTGCCTGCCGTTCAGGATCCCTGTTTGATTTTCTTTTGGCAACCCAGAAAGCCGAGGCCATCGATGTAATCAAGAAGCAGCTAGGCAATCTACAGGACGATCAGGCCAGGCTGTTCATTGAAGTCGTCTCCATAGCACGGGTTGCTCCGGCACAGGGTCGGATCAAGATGGTCGGCGGCGGCCTCGGAGCTGTGGGAAAGTTAGCCAAATGTGGCGGGGACGGCGCTGGCAGGTGACATGCTGTCGGCGCTGGTCGAGCTGGATGCAAAGAGTGTGATGAGGTCAGCTCTTCAGGATGCGGATGTCATAACGGTCGCTCGGCCGCACGCTTTATGTCCTTGCCGATCGCAGTCTGAGCCGTGGTTGCCGCCTGGCCCAGGTGTTTGAGCAGGCCTGCAACGCAACCAGGAGCGATGTGAACAGCTACGGGCCAAAGCAAGTAGCTGCATGGATTGCGGCAAAACTGGTTTCTGCCAAGTACGACGCTTCGGAGATCCAACAGGCCAGGGGTGTAAATTTCGTTTGTACCATCCATTCTTTTTCCTTGTTACAGGCACTTGCGAAGCTGACTGGGATGTTGAGTGAACAGCTGCTCGAAGTCACGCAAGATGAGTTCGAGAGCCAGTACAATCTAGAGGCTGCGAAAGCTAAGTTCCTGTTCAATGCGGCTCAAGGCTTAAGCGACCCTTCGGCCACTCTGGCATGCACTAGTCACGCTTCTTTTGGCGGGCCTGTTTTGTGGTCAGTGTCACGCCAGTTGGCATGTTTCACGGCAACCCGTGCCCTGAAAGGCATTGACCTTTCGCGACCTCGTGAACGACAGCAGCTATCCAGAGTTCAAATACCAGCATGTTTGGGTGTACAGGCTCCTAACAGACATACCAAAATGTGGTTACATTGAAGATGCGCAGCTGTTGAAGAGCACAGTCGCCGGCGAAGTGGTGGATGTGGCAATCGGCATGAGGAAGGGCAAGCGCTGTATTCCCGTCTTCTATGGTGAAAGTGGCAGCGGGAAGACCCTGCAGTCTCAGCTTGCGCCGGCTCTGAAGTTACGCAATAATTCGTGCATAGTTCGCGTCTTCAGCAAGACAATTGACGATGACGATCCAATCCTCGACGACATCAGGACACTACACCTGCACCAGGACATTGATAGTCGCAATGCCTTGTGTAAGAATTGGACTCTCAACGTGCTCTTTGCGCAGATCAAGGATGCTTTTGGGCAACATGAAGAGGTGGTTGAAGCATGGTTTGGCAATTCAAGCCGGAACAAACAAGACCTTGGCACCATCGTGTTTGTCATTGATGAGGTTAGCAAGTGCATAGAACTGGCTCGCGGCATCTCTGCAGTGCAAGGTCAAATTTACTCGACGCTAGAGAAGGAGTATTGCATATCTGCTCAGCTTGTCATGGCTGGAACGGCTGCTGCATACATTCTGGGGACTCCAGGTACAAGTAAGCTCAGTTCTGATCCAAAAGGGGTTTGCTTGACGCATGTTGGCGTTGTCAGGGGCACGACATACCTCAACAGGCTGCTGACACACGAGTTGGACAAGAACACGGGCGTGCACTTGAAGGACTTGCAAGTCGCGTCCCTGCGCCCATACCTTAGCAACGCCCGAACGGCATGGTTCCTGATTGAAATGCTGCGCCATTTCACTTGGGCGCCAAAGGAGGTCAGCCCCAAGAGTGCAGTCTCAATTTGGAAGCGCTACCCAGCAGCCACGGGCTGCTACGTGCCCTTGATGTACAGAACAACGAACGGCTTGCAGCGATTGAAGACTCCTCGAGATCGGGAAAACATTGCCAACCGGGCGCTCAAACTTTTGATGCACACCGACCTTCTGTCACCAGACACGATGCCGACGCTTCAGGAAGCTGTAGAGTGTGTAAGCCTCGGGCTGTGCAACGTTTCAAGCTATAGCCAAGCCCAAGGTATGCTTGAGCAAGATCCGCGAAGCAAGACGTATCGGGATCACCTGATTTTCGAGTCTTCACCTGCTTTGGCACACATGCTGTTGGCAGCTTTCGATGTGCCCGAGGTGGTCCCGCAGGACGGGGATTCGCTGGAGGCGGTCATAATGGAGGCGGAAAGACGCTTCTCAGAGGTGCTGACGGGCCGGAAGGCCATCGCTTTGACTCTACCACATGCGCTGCCTCCGCAATTGAACCAGCTGAACATGCCAGGCGTGCCACAAGAACAATTTCAGGAGGTTCTGGCAGCTTTGAATGCCAGCCAGACGGTGGTGCTGCGCAACGGGCCCAATGCCCAAGGTGCCGACATAATTGTTCTTCGGAGGAGGCATGGAAGCACTTTGCCCTTGGTTCGCCTGATACAGGCGAAAAACAGGAAGAGCAAAGCAGACATGCTTCCAGTGATTTCAACACTGGGAGTCACATGCAACAACTCTACACATAGGCGTGCCGCCTTCTCTCGAGCCGAAGAAGTTCTTGGATGGCTGTGCCTACTTGTGTCAGAGCAAGCTGGCCCTAATGCGTTCAGCCTTGGGAAGTTCAGTCAGCCCAGGACTGCTGTTGACGTCAGCGTCGAACTGGTGCTTGTGGAGAGCATCCCCCGCAACGAGACTCTTCCTACTTTGAGTCGACCAGCGTTTTTGCAACAGACTCCTACGTTCCTGCTGAGGAGTTTGCAACATTTGGCTCCGTTTCCAACACATCTCGCGCGCCCCAATAGCAACTATGCTGCGCAAAAGAAGTGGGCAAGGAGGAAGAGGTCGAGAAAGCCGTCGGCAAAGAAAATATCAGCAAGCAAACGATAGAGGACAGTGTTGTCGCTCTTGCATAGAGCATCATTCGAAAAAGCTGCGTCCTATTGCTGGTGTGGCATTGAGTAAATCTTCTTGGTCATCGCTCAAGAGCCTGCATGTTGCCTTGTTCCTTCGAGCATGTGCTGGTTCGGAGCTGGCGATTGCATGATTTTCACTGAGGTCCCAGCGGGATGCTGTCATCCAGAATGTGGTGCGAAGCAGCCGTTAGTTGCAGGCATGAATTGCCCTGTTGCCCCTGCTAGGAGATTCTCGTCAATAGATGGGCATGCGACCAAAATGCTTGGTTGAGGCTACTGAGCCACCGGCATGGAATGCACATATAGCCGTTTTCCCTAGCTTCTAGAAAAACACGTTTCTGCAGGGGCGTGGATTTCGGAAATGCAATTGCGGCGCGCAGCGACCCATTTCCAGCTCGGCAACTAGAATGCTGCAAGACGCTCCGCAAAGCTTCAGAAAGAAGGGTCTCTTGCGAGGCCTGCTGCGGGCGCGCAGAAGTGCAATTAAAAAGCCTTCAGCAAGAGAGAGAGACGAGGGCTTTCAGTGATGCATGGCAGCGGCCTAGAAACTCGTCACTGCTCCTAAACCCTAAACGTTGGTATTTTTTGTTCTGCATGTTCGTGCTGGATTTTCGCATGATTTTGGCATGACTTTGCTTGATTTTCGCATAGTTTTTTGGCATGTTTTTTTTTTGTGCGCGTTTTTTGCTAGAGTGCTTGGGCCGCGCTCGCTCCCTCGAAGCGTCGGTGCATCAAGCAGCAGCAGCAGGCCACGCCAAAGGAGACAAACGGCTACTGCATCTTAGCAAGGCAGCACACGTCCTGACACAAGGAGGTAGTGTCCGACTGCCGGGCGCCACAGAGGTTTCAGGGTTTAGGGTTTAGGGTTGGCAGGCTCTGAGGCAGCGAGGTCTGATGTCAGGAGGGCCCTGCGCTGTCTACCACCCTTAAACCCCCCTTCCTGTAACTCTGAGTACCCTGTGTCCCCTCTCGCCGCTCAGGTTCCTCTTCGACGTCGTCGCTGCGAGTCGGACGCCGCAGAGGTTCAGGGTTTAGGGTTTAAGTTGGTAGGCAAGGGGCTCCGAGGCAGCTGGTCAGTGTGCGCCCAGGAGTGCCCTGTGCTGCCCTTCCTCCCCTCCCCGCTGTAACTCTAGAGTGCCCTGCGCCCCATCCCCCTCCCGGACCCCCGGGGCCCCTTCGTGTGGTCAGGTTCGACATCGTGTTCGTCTTCTCGTTCGACATCTTCGACAAGAGGCGTTTAGGGCTGTCTTTGTGATGTTGTGTGATGGTAACGTAATCGTGGCTCTAAGGCGCGGGAGGGCAGGTGAAACCCGGGAGGGGGGCGGGAGGGCAGGTGAAACCCAGGAAGGGGGGGCGCAGGAGGGCAGGTGAAACCCAGGAAGGGGGCCGCGGGAGGGCAGGTGAAACCCAGGAAGGGGGGCACAGGAGGGCAGGTGAAACCCGGGCAGGGGGCGCAGGAGGGCAGGTGAAACGCGGCAGGGAGGCGCAGGAGGGCAGGTGAAACCCAGGAAGGGGGCGCAGGAGGGCAGGTGAAACCCGGGAAGGGGGCGCAGGAGGGCAGGTGAAACCCGGGTGAAACCCGGCAGGGGGCGCAGGAGGGCAGGTGAAACCCGGCAGGGGGCGCAGGAGGGCAGGTGAAACCCGGCAGGGGGCGCAGGAGGGCAGGTGAAACCCGGCAGGGGGCGCAGGAGGGCAGGTGAAACGGAGGGCAGGTGAAACGCGGCAGGGGGCGCAGGAGGGCAGGTGAAACCCGGCAGGGGGCGCAGGAGGGCAGGTGAAACGCGGCAGGGCGGCGCAGGAGGGCAGGTGAAACGCGGCAGGGGGCGCAGGAGGGCAGGTGAGGGTAAAAGGGGATGGTTTTCAGCTCCTCGCGGGCGGTTGGAATTTCACCTGGGCTCCTGACGGGCGGTTGGGGTTTCACCTGGGCTCCTGACGGGCGGTTGGGGTTTCACCTGGGCTCCTGACGGGCGGTTGGGGTTTCACCTGGGCTTTGGGTTTCACCTGGGCTCCTGACGGGCGGTTGGGGTTTCACCTGGGCTCCTGACGGGCGGTTGGGGTTTCACCTGGGCTCCTGACGGGCGGTTGGGGTTTCACCTGGGCTCCTGACGGGCGGTTGGGGTTTCACCTGGGCTCCTGACGGGCGGTTGGGGTTTCACCTGGGCTCCTGACGGGCGGTTGGGGTTTCACCTGGGCTCCTGACGGGCGGTTGGGGTTTCACCTGGGCTCCTGACGGGCGGTTGGGGTTTCACCTGGGCTCCTGACGGGCGGTTGGGTTTTCCCTGGGCTTTTGGGGTTTCCACCTGGGCGGGCGTCACCTGACGGGCTCCTGACGGGCGGTTGGGGTTTCACC